CCGCCGCGTGCAGCCGGTCCCGCAGCGCCAGGAACTCCCGCTGGTACACATCCACCACGTCGCCTGCGGGCCGAACGCCGCGTCAGCAGGGGGCGCTCTCGAGCAGTGCCCGAGGCCCGCTGCCCGGGCCCCATAAAGTCACTGCAAAGCCACCCTTAACTAGGCGAGGCTGGAAGAGCCCGGGAGGGGCTCACCCCTCGCACTCTCCTCCCACTGTTACTGTGTCCCTGGAGGCGGCCGCAGTCACTTCCCACAGGGTCAGTTTCCATCCCAGGCCGAACAGTCCCAAACCCCACCCTCGCTGGCTCCCAGACTCGAGGTTCTCTGGGGTCCCAGCCAGGGCACAAGAGCTCGACCCCTCTTTCAGGGGCTGCTCCGCCCACCCTGCCATTCTTCAAGTACCACTGAGCACCAGGCCCCTCCCAAGGCCCCTCTCACTCCCGGAAGAACTGACTTTGAGAATATCCTAGAGGCTGCTCAACCAGTCATGGGTGGGGAGCCGCAAGCCCCTAAAGGGAATCCTGAGACCTGTTTTGGGCCTGGGCCTTTTTTGTTTGTTTGTTTGGTAGCGGGAATCGAACTCAAGGCCTTGAGCTCACCAGGCATGCCCTTCACCAATAAGCTACATCCCCTGCCCAGGGCCCCTTTTTATCTTGCTATGCTGTTCAGCTTTGCCTTGAACGCTTGCCGTGATCCTCCTGTCTTAGGCTCAGAAGTGCACCACACCTAGCTATGCCTGGGCCATCTGGAGAGCCTGCCTCCCACCCCAGCGAGATGGGCATCAGGGTGGGGCAGCTGAGGGCCGCACAGGTAGGGCTGCTGAGCAGTGGGGGAGGACACCCTGGGGTGCCAGGCACCTGGCTCCACTGGCCTGGCAGGCCCAGCAGCAGGAGGATAAACTCCTGCCGCCTGTGCCCTGCTTTGCTCTCAGGCCTGGTAGCCTGGCTTCTGCCCCATCGTCTGCCTTGCTGACACTCCTTTCCCTTGGGCAATGTCTTCAAGGGGCACAGGCTGTCACCTCTGCCTGGAATCCCATTGTCTTCTGGGCCTAATTAAAGCAGATGCAGCCTTCGAGGCCATGTTTCAAGTCTTCGGGTCCAGAAGTTTCCAGAACTCCCTGCCCACCCCAGCCAGCTCTCAGTCCTTGACCTCCCTGGGGTGCTGCGGTCGTGCACCAAATTCAGGATCAAGGCAGAGTTTGGTCACTTCAGACACAGCTCCTGCAGCACAGCTGAGGGCCAAGCACTCAGACCCCAGGCTAGAGGGGTGCCAGGGAGCAGAAGCACTTGATCCCCTCCCCCAGACTCCTCCCATGGGAGCAGCTTGTGCCCCAAACTCCCTGCACCTGCCTCAACAGGTGAAGCCCCAGGCCACACTGAGCTGGGGCGCAGGGCTTGGTTCTGGGTTATCCAATCTTGCCTGGGCTCCAGGGCCAAGTTACCCTGGAAACCTAATTCCTTGAAGGAAGAGCTGGCCACCCCCAACACACACATAGGCTGGGTGGCGGGTACAGGGGGGCTCCTCCTTGGCAGCTGCTGACATGGAGGGGACAGAGAAGGTCAAAGCTGCGCACAGGACGGGTGCTTCCTTCTGCCTAGGCACAGCTCCCTGCTTAGTGGACACAGGGACAGCCTTGCGCCCCTGGCTCCATCCAAGGCAGGCCCGTCCTGACAGCCCCTGCTCTGAGTGAGCTAAGGTGGCCCATCTGCGCCATCCCAGCTGGACAGGCAGTGGGCCATGCTGCCCTGCATCACTCCGGCAGCCAGGCCTGGGCGCAGCTTGCTCCCCACCCTGGCCTCTGTTCCCCAGGGACTCTGTTCTCCCTCAGGCCTGGAGCTTCCTGTTTACCAGCAGGGGAGGGGCTCCTAGGCTTGGGTCCCACCCATGCCAGCGCTTCAGTCATTTCCCTTTTCCCCCTTCTGCTCAGGGCCTACCTGGCCTGCTGCTGCCTACAACATCCGGGTCTGCCCTGATCCCTGGCTTCTCTGATTGTGGGTCCATCAAAGGCAGAAACCCCAGCTCCGTGACTGCCTCCCTGTGGGCTGTGTCTCACTCCGGGGCTCGGCCAGGCAGCCGTGGGTCGCACCACCTTCTTGCTGGGGATGGCCCAGACAGGGAGCAGCAGAGGCACCTCTGGCTGGAGCTGGGGCACTCTCCCTTCTCCTCCCATCCACACTTCCTTCCCCTGGGACTGGGGGAGCTGGCTCCTGGGAAGGACTGCAGTTGCAGCCACACTTTTGGCAGGAGTGTGGCCCAGAGTTTCCTCAGTCTCCACCAAAGGCAGAAAAGTCGGGAAACCCTAAGGCCCACAAAGTGCCACGTTCCACCTGGTTGGTTCTTTGTCAGGAAAACAGATCCAGAGCCAAAGTGGGGCACAGCTCTTGTTCCCTGTACTTACTTAGGGGTGAGAAAACAGGCCCGGCCAAAGTGGGGGAAGGGGTGCAGAGGCTGGCAGGTGTGTACTCCTCTCCTGCTCTGTCCTTCCCAGAGGTGCAGGAGGGCGGAAGTCCAGGCAGGGACAGGCTGGGTGCTGGGGAGTGGTGGCTGAAGGCTGCAGGCTGAGCCCCCAAGAGCAGCTGCACAAATACGGTCAAGGCCAGGTGGAAGCTGGGCCCCAAACCTTTTTAGGGTCCATCCAGACTTGACCTCAACTTTCCAGGCGGCCCCTGCTCCCGGGATCCCCTTGCTCTCGGACCGCCTGCTCATCTTCTATTTTCCCTGCAGATTCCGTTTTCTGTGCTTTTCCCCTAAGTACTGGGTCGTCTTCTGAGCCCCACATCTGCTGCTGACCGGAAGCCCGGATCCAGTCTGGCCTTGGCCTGAGAGAGCATGGCTTCACTGCCAGCTTAACCCAGGTTTCTCTGCATGCAAGAACGAGAAGGTTCACATAATGCCACTCGTCTCTGGCTTCTCCGGGCCTCTGAGGACCCTGCTCTCCTGGGCCCCCATGGAAATCTGGAGCCCACCACGGGGCAGGCCCAAATTGTGGCCCTTCCCCTGCCCCACAGGCACCTGGACTCCCATCCTGGGAGCAAGAAACCCTCGCCCTCAGCGAGCCTCCTCCTCAGATGCCCCCGCAGGCCCAGGCAGCCCCGAGGGGAACTGCTTGTGTCCCTCTGCGCTGTGCGCGGAGACCGGCTCCCTGCGGCCAGCTGGGCTCCCACAGGATGGGCTTCGGTGGGGCCCACGCTGCTGCTCCTGACAACGGCCGAGGCTTGTGTCTGCTGCCAGAGCTGCA